TCGCGCTCTCAGCCTCTCTCTGCCTGGCCATCACATGTCCCCCTGACCTTCCTCAGGGCCTCTCAGCCTCTGGCCTGGCTCCATGGGCTTATTTTTGTTTTCTCTCCACCTGTCTGATTTGCGTGACCACACCCAACGAGCTGTGCCTAGGCCACAGATTGCTGACTCTGAGTGTAGAATGACTGGGTCCCATGAGGTAAGAAGGCTCCAGAAGCCCAGGCCAGGCCACCACTACAGCCCTGCCTTCCGGGGAACACACTCCTTCCCTCTCGCTCGCTCAGACTCACCCACAGGGACCCATCCAGGAACATGACCGGGCAGCTTTTCACCCGAGGTGAGGCCGTTTGATTTTATGAGAAAGGCGACATGTTCCACGTGTGCTCACCTCTTCCAGAGCCCCTTTCTACAGCCACCTGTGTGGAGGGGTGACCTGTGCACTCGTGTCCCTCTATGTCCCCCAGGCGGCTGTGGGTTAACAGGAGCATCTTCTAGGCGCTGCTCTAATAAAACCGACAGCTGGCAGACACGGAGGCTCAGCATGTGCCCGGCTCTGGGCTGGGTGCTGTGCTACAGGCAGGCGCTGTCATTCCCTCTGAATGTCTTAGAAACAGGCTTCAAATTCAGGACAATCCCTGAGGACCCACCACTGGCATGCCACTGCGTCTGGATTTGAACCCAGAGCCCAAGCCCTTCACCACCATGCCGGGCTGGCTGCGCCAATTAAGGCCGCCTTTGAGAAAAGAAAAGCATCCGGTCTTCAGGGCCTAAGGGTGCAGAACTCTGAGCCCCTGACAATTACAGGTATCAACTAAATATTCAATCGCCTCTGTCCCCTCGCCCTGGGCACGAACCCTCTACTCCCTGCTCAGAACCTCCTGGGATGAGACCCAGCCCCAGCTCCTCTCCCAGACTTCTCTGTCCTCCCTACCTGCCCCTGTGTACACCACACAACAGGAACTCCAAGCTGCCCCAGCTCCATCTCCTACTCCCTCTGCCCTCCCTGCCCTGGCTCCCAACAGTCTCATTCTCAGAAAGGTCCCTGCCTGTGAACCTCCCATCCTGGCCTGTCTAGTCCTTCAGGGGCCACCCTACCTCCTACAGGGGGCCTCCCCAACATCCCCAGCCTGAATTACTGCCTCCTTCCTCAGTGTTCCCTATATCACCACCAGAAACTGCAGTCCAGCCTGGATGGATTGTGCCGGGGTCCAGGCCCGACACCCCTCGAGAACATGAGTTTGAGCGCTGTTGCTTGCTTCTTTGCAAGGAGCATGACAAATGTATGCTCAATGGAATCAGAACCCTCTGGAGCAGGAAGGGAGGTCAGCGTTGGAATCCGGCCCTTATTTTTAAGCTAGAGAAACAGAGACCCAGAGAGGTGAAGGGACTTGACAAAGGTCACACAACAAGTCAGAAACAAGAAGTAGAAGCTCCTCCTCAAGGCTCCTTCAAAGCAGAGACAGGCCTTTAACACAAACTGCCACTGACAGAGCTAAACGCAGCCTCACCCAGGGAATTGGGAAGCCGGGATTCAAGGATGAAGAAGAAAATTCTAGAACCAGGGATGGAGAAGCCCTTGGAGTTTCCCTCACTCAAATCCCCAGCAGAAGTTTGTGGTGGGGTTTAGAACAGGGAGACAAACAGTACACTGGAGACCTGAGCTCCCGTTCTAGAACCATCTCTCCTGAGCTGGGCAGCTGGAGTAGGCCACTCAGCCCCCTGCGGCTCAGTTTTCTCCTCTGAGAATAGTGCCGAGTGTAATGACTCCAGGGCCACGGTGGGGATCCTGAGGAACAATGAGCGTGGAAATACCTTGTGAGATGGAAGATGCTAAGCCCCGTGGGCCGCCCGCAATAAGTAGTCCTGCAGCCAGTACTGGAGGAGGAACAAGGAGGACCGGGGAGAGCCAGCGAGCGGCCAGAGCCAGAGGGCTGTGTGCAGAAGCGCTCCGCAGGCGTGGGGCCCGCTGGCTCTCCAGGGGTGGGGGGGGTGCTGTGGTGCTGTGGAGGAGCCCACACAAGGCCAGGCCTTTACAGGAGGGGCTCCTGTTCTCTCTGTAATCCCCACACCTAGCCCGCTCTCACCCTCCAGGTGGAGAGGCATCCTAAGGACCGATCGTGGGCCACAATCTCACCCTGGACCCAGGCTGCCCCCAGGAGCCCACCTTGCCCTGGCCGCCCCCTAGGACACTGTCTTCTCTTGGTACCTGCATTGGTATCTCCCACCCTCCATCAAACCCCTTCTTGCCTGTCTCTCAGTAAACTTCTTCCGGTCCCAAATTTTGCATCATGGGTCTCGGGCCCATAAACCTTGACTTGTCTCTTTTAAGAATGATAAGAATTCACCCAGCAGGAGCAGGCATGGGAAAAAGCCCAAACCTGAAAGTTGATGGGGCCTGGGTTCCTAGCCCAGCACCACCACCCACCAGCTTGGCCAGGTGACTTCATCTACAAAGGCAGACAAGACCACCACCTACTTCAGCACAGGACTCTGGAGTTTTGCACAGTCCGGTGCTGCACAAATGGCCCCTGTCCCCCACCTCCTGTCACCCAGCAGCACTCCCGGGCCCCAGAGGTGAAGCAGTGGGTCCCTGCCCCCAGCCCCGCCTCCCCTCCCTTCTCTGGATCCCAGCTGAGCTCCTGGGGGTGGAATGACAGGGTGGGGGGAGGGGGCACCTAAAAACCCATTAACCTCCTCCGGACTTTCCTCACCAGAAGAAAAGGCACTAGAATTTTCCTCCCCACAGCTCCCGAGAACAGCATGGACTTAGAATTCCCCACCCTCATTATTTAAAGAGGCATAGGTGGCTTTCTTCTTTCTCTCTCTCCCTTTGGGGTTTTGAAAGAAAGAGAAGAAAAACAGCTAGGAAGGAAGGCGCTGCTCTGCCTGCCGCTGAGCTGAGGAAAGCGGTGTTTCATTGACACACAGCCGTCCCTCACAGCCCTTCTCGCTTGCTCTCATACATGCTCATTTTCTCCCCAAAATGTGCTTCACAAATAAGTGTGGCAAAACCAAAGCTCTCTGTTCCGATTTTACATATCCATCCAGGCCTCGGCTTCACTACAGAGGTTACTTAAATTCCTTCTCATTTTGGTTTTCTTTACCTTCTATTTCTAAAGCAGATCTTTGGACCATGCCTCCCAAGTCCCCCTTCCGGAAAGCTCCATAAGGGAAACACAGGCCATCCCTCAGCTTCCTAATTAGCCCGCGCGGCAGATAAATGCCCCAGCACCGATGCCAGTGCTGAGCGGCGGTAACAGCGCCTGTGAGGAAGGGAAGTCCGGATGTCTTATGAAGTCTTTCCCCCGGGACGGTTATAAATAGTGTGATGACACGCAAAGGAGAAGCATATATAAAAGTTAGCTGTCCCCTCTGTGGGTTACAAACGTTTGACTCATTTGCAGGCTGTCCACAAAGGTTATAAATAAAGTCACCACCCCCCTGGGTGGGAAAAGGGCCTCGTTTTCACGGAGCCACTGTGACCTGTGGAGATAAAGCGTATGCCTGGGCCCCTTGGCAGCTGTAGCCAATCGCTTATAAAGAATCTCCTGCCTTCTGCAACCCTGTCCCACAGGTCACCCCATTGGGAGGGTCCACGGAAAGGAGTCTGTCCCATTCCTACTTTCCCAACATGCCTGTAACCACGGACAAGGGGGCCCTGTGGCGTCTCCTCCCCTACATCAGGACATCCCTGAAAGCCACCCACCTACCCCAAAGCAGCTCCCGGGTCTGGCAGGAGGTGCAGGCCGTTCACCCAGCCAAGCCCCGGCTGCCGCCCTGCCCTTCTGCAGATAAGACCTCCATGACCAGGGAGGGCAGGGTGGCAAAGCTGCTGAGACCTATGGTCCTTCTCAATCCTTCAGACTGGAGGCTGCGGGCAGACTCGCTGACCTCTGTCAAGTCAGCAAAGAGACACAACAACAAGTTGGCCCCAAGGGACGCCATTCTCTTTGGAGAGTGAATGGCTGGGGGACCCAGCTCCCCTGGGCATACAGGGAAGCCTGCCCTTTCAGGGTGGCCGCCCACAAGATGGTCTGAAGAAGGAGGAGTAACTCGGGGTGGGAAAGGAAGCCATGCATGGGAACAGACAGGGCGGCCCGGGTGACCACCGCCATACCAACTCCTCTGCCCCCAGCAACAAGGCCAGGCAGGGAAGTGGGAAGAGCAGAGGGGCAGGAAGTTGGTGGGGTGGGCAGGAGTGGGGCATGAGGAGGGTGGAGGAACCAAGCTCTGCCTGGGAGGTAAAACTCAGATGGATTGAGAGGCCAGGGGTGGGGAAGCGGTTTGAGGTTGTGCAAAAATGGTGGAAACGGAGAGCCAGCCTGCTACACCAGCATTTCCAGCCTCCCCTGAGGGGACCCCACAGCCCGACACCCGAGGTCCCTGGGAAGCAAGGCCCACCAAGAACTAAGGTCCAGCTGGTGACTTGCCAGCTAGACAGAGGCACGGGCTCAGCCCCCAGCAAGATGGCAGGGTGGGATGGGAGTCCACAGCCTGGAGAGGAGAGGGAGGCCAGGCTGGGCCTCGCCCATTCTCAACTCTCCCTTGGCCCAGTGGAGAGAGCATAGCAGGCAGTTTAAGGCAACAGAGTGGGTGTGTCTCAAACCAGCTCTAGAAGAAAATAAAGAATGCCAAGAAGGACTCCCCAGATCCTCATTGCCTTCATCGCATTGGCACTAATGTGGTAGAGACAATGTCACTAATTTCTCAACAGGATCTCTAGACCTGGCCCTGTCGTGGTGTCTAAGCCCTCAGAGAGTAAATCCACCTACTGAAAAACACCCTGGACTCCTCCTTCCATTCAGGGGTAGCACCAGGAGGGGCCTATTAGGGCCATCTCCAGCATTTCTCTGCCGTTTGGCCTCATGGCACTGCTGCGATCACCAACAGCTCTCCTGTTATCTGAGCCCCACCTCAGCCCACCTCCCTGCTTCTGTCATGGCCTATGGCTCGTGAGGACCTCGGCTCATGAGGCTGAGGACCGTTCTGTTGCAATCTCTTACCTCCTCACGCTGGCTCCCATTTGCATTAACTTTGAATAGGCTCAGGGGCACGCCATGTTCCTTCTCAAGAGAGCCAGGCCTGTGTGGCGAATGCCTCCCCCAGTAACAGATATCAGCCAAAGAGAGGCAAACAGGAAGGCCACGGCCCCATGAGAAAAGGCAGAGGACTTCAGAGAGCAGCAGCTCAAGCATGTGGTTAGCAGTCTTTGATCACTCGGGGGAAAAAAAGTGTGTCCCTCTCCCAAGGGCCTTTGAGCGGGAACTGCCACCATCAATGCAGAATCACCCGATCTGACTGGGGTGCCTGAGGTCACCCCGTCCCTCCTCCTGACTCCAGACTGGTCAGCAAAGCCAATCAGATGCACAAAGTTCTCCAGCAAAAGAAACTGCCACCCATCCCACCCCAGGGGCCACTGAACATCTCTGAGTTCTCCCTGCTGGTGATTCTTCATTCTAACCCAAACCATCCTGTCACCACAGAGCCCATTTTCCCCACGAGGCTGGGGAACAGATGCCACCTCCCCTGCAACAGACCCACATGTAGAGATGTTTTCCAGTCAGAAGACCCAGCCCTGCTCACAACTTCTCCCCTCCAAGATACAGCTTCTCCCCGCTCCTTTGACAAAAGTCTCAGTTCCCAATCTGTTAAGGCCTCAACTACTTCTGGAGCCAGAGTTAGACAACAGAAGAAAAAGACATCGCTTTCCCTCTCCATTATTAATAACAGTAACAACAGAGCCCATTTATCAAGCAGGCACAGCAGGCAGTGCCTTACACTTATCTAATTCACTCTCCCCACTTGACAGCCGGGGAGACAGACCTGCAGAGGCTCCATGGCTTGTCCGAGATCACACAACCAGAAGTGACAGAGCTGGGACTCAAGCTCCGCTCTGATTCTTTAAAGCGATCCTATTCACCTCCAGGAGAGAAGAGGGATAGCTGCCCTACCCGCTGCTGGGCCCACTGGGCCTGACAGAGGAGACACCCAGAAAATACTTGTTCCACAATGACTCAACGCATAGATGGAGAGACAGAAGGGTTGGTGAGCAGGTGAGCAGGTTAAAGTGAGCCCCACTTATCACAACCAGTACCAACCCACCGTGCACAGGAAGTGGCCATCCCACCAGCTGAGGAAGGCAGGACCTTCCCAGTTGCTGTGTCCCCCATGCTGCCATCAGCCAGAGGATCAGGGATTTAGGAATGGGTGAAGCCCAGTCCCTTGGGTCACCTCATCGTTCCTTCACACCGGAGTCTGCTCTCTCCAGCTCTGGGAAAGCTCCTGTCCCTGGATACTCCATCAGGGTGGCACCTGCTCTGGCCTTTTCCTGCCCAGCAGCAACCCTCCCATCGCATTAAGACAAATGAGCACAGATGATCCCACAATGGGAGCTGTCTCTGGGAAGAGCCACTCTCTTAGGAGCTCTGACCACAGGGGTCACTGAAAGAGGAGGTGCTGGTCTTGCCCCTTCCCCTCTCCCCCTCCAGCACTCAGGCCCTTATCAGTTTCCCCCAGCGAGGGCTCCTTGTCCCCAGGAGGTGACTGGAGGGAGCCATGGCTGTGTCCAGGGCGGCTGCCAGGCCCATCAAGGATGGTGGCCCCCTCTCCCGGAGCGCCCAGCGGGAGAGACGGCAGAGGCAGCAAGCAGAAGGACCCTCAGACTCAGAGGCTCATTACAGGGAATGACTAAGTGAGCTGCGATTCCAGGGGAAAACCCCGCTCGCTCCTGCTCAATGAGGGGCTCAAATCCTTGAGCTGTTTAGATGAAGGGGGCTTCCAGAAGCTGCCCTCAGCTGGGGCAACCCCCTCTGAGCAGCCGGGTCCCTGGGGGCACCCTCTGCCTGGAAGTCTTGGTTGTGGCTATTCAGGTCGTCTGATAGGTCTGCCCCACCCGTTTCCTGAGCAGGCAAGTCTGCCCATCCCCTGTTAGAGCGAGAGGCTGGGAATGGGGGAAATCCGATCAGCACCTCCTAGGTTTTTGCGACTAGATTTCAACAAGGAATGTGACAGTCTCGCAGCAGCTGTGCCCAGCCTGAAACAAGCTCTATTTGAAACCTCCAACAGCTGAACCCCTCCCAGCTACCCCGGGCCAGCCCAGCCACCCCCTGCCCAAAATGACAAATAAGTAGAGAAATCCAAGCAAAAAGCAAGCACGCACACACAAACTCACACACACATGCATGCACACACACATACACACACACACCCCACAACCAGTTGGGGATGAGGGATAGAGTGGGAAAAAATCCACTTGTCCAAGGGCTCCCCAGGTCTCCAAGCCTTCCAGCCCGCAGCAGGAGGGTTCCCAGCAAGCAGAGCATTGACGGAAACCCACCTTCCTCAATCCCCGCTCCCTTGGAGGATGCGATTTCCAAGCCCCCTCTGGGAGGGAAACCCCTCCTCCGTCTTGGGGCTGGACGGAGAGGCTGGAGCAGCAGGGCCAGCTCCCCAGCTAAAGCCGGTGCCCGCCGTTCTCCATCCGGGCGCGCACTCACACACTCGCACACACACTCATCCTTATTTATCCCGAGAAGAAGGAGTTGGGGTGGGAGGGGAGAACCGGGACTGAGCCGGGGGCGCGGGCTCTCGGGGACGCCCGGGAAGCCCTGACATCCCATCCCAAGGAGAGGCGCTGCCCCCTGGCTGATGCCAAGGCAGCGCCCATCTGCTCTGCCCGGGTAACACCTGTAGCCATTTTTATCAGGGGATGTTGATGAGGCGGCAGCAGGTTTATTCTGAGTCCTCTTTCCTGAGGGAAAGGACTGCTGATTTCCTCCGCCTATATTTTTACCCCATGCCCCCAGGAGACTCAGGTCACGGGTGCTTTTCTATTTTGCCCTAAGTCTCTCAGGGAGGAGGAGGGAAACAGAAACTTGGGAAGAGAGGGAGAAGACAGAGAGAGAAGGGACTGGCATGGAATCCCCACCCCCCACCCAGACATTTATTTCTTTTTTATCCTCGGGAAAATGGAGTGGAGCAGAGAGGGGAGGAGAGAGGGGAAGTCACAGGAATTGGCGAGCACTTCAAGGCAGAGTGTAATTAATTGGTGCGTTAAGCTGCTGGGTTATGCTTTGGTACGAGTGAGCCAGGAGGAAAAATGATTTCTCAGAAGGGATTCTTTAAGCCTCCCTAACACAGAGTCTGCAAATTAGACACAGTGTGTGGGGATGTCCCCCCCCAAGAAAGCGAGGAATGAATTCTCCCGGGATTAAGAAGGAAAACCATGGGAAGTTAGAGTGTTCAATATAATTGAGCAAACGACTCTCCCCACCACCACCACCACCACCTCTCTCTCTCTCCCCCAGTCTCTCTCTCTCAATCTCTCTCTCTCTCTTGCTACCTACATATTCCTTTTGTTCAAGGTATAAAGAGAAACTGCAGCCCCTACCTTTGAGTACAAACCCCAAGAGAGCTCGGTCTCTATCACCATAACAACAATTCCAAACATCCCAAAAATCAGAGCATAGTCACTCAGTCGCTTTCTCTTTTCAAACAGGGCCCTCCTGTGTCCCAGCTTATAGCCAATGTTTTGGTTTTTCCGCTTGTTGGCTTTGGGGAAGGTGGTGCTGCTGGCGGTCGTGCCGGCGTGCTGGTGGTTGTGGGTGGCATTGGGGTGATGGAGCAGGGTCTGGTGGGCATGGTTGTCCTCCCGGGAGGAGATGATGATCTCCGGGGGGTTGCTGGGGCTGAAGAGCTGGAGGGGTTGGCCCTCCTGCTCAGTCTCGATGAGGTTCCTCCGGGAGGCGCTGAGGCGGCTGAGGGGCTTCATGACCCCACCGCTGTACTTGCAGGAGCTCATGGCGATCTCCGTGAAGGGGTTGCTGTCCCGCCGGTGCACCAGGGGGCTGGCCTGCCGGTGCCGGCCGCCTCCACCAGGCCCACTTGTGGCTGTGGAACTTGGAGAGTGGCCAAGCAAGTGGTCATTGAGATTGAGCTGGCTGCCTTGCCTGGAGGAAGGGTGGAGGATGGCGGTGGAGTTGGACGAAGGGGGGGCCCTGAAAGCGGTGGGAGAGGAGTGCAGCAGGCCGGGGTGGACGGGCTGGCTCTGGAGTTGGGCGAGCTGAGACAGGGGATGCGGTGGCTGCTGCTGCTGCTGCTGCTGCTGAAGCTGCGGAGGCTGAGGCTGCAACGGGGGTCCTGGGGGCTGCTGGGGGGCTGCTGGTGGTGCTGGCGGTGGTGGTGGCGGCGGCTGCTGCTGCTGCTGCTGCTGCTGCTGCTGCTCATCCCCGGAGGATGGACAGGGGCACTTGGGGTCTTCATCCAGGTCCCCCACCCCCGAGTCATGGAAGTGCCCAGAAGTGTCCATCTTGGGGCCTGGCTGGATTCCCTGCAGCACAACCCCCCACCCCAAAGCCACCCTCGCTCCAAAGATGTCCTCAAAGAAAGCCAGGCATCCAAGCTCCCCCACCAGAGTGTCTTGGCTCCAGTCCTCTCTCTTTGGCTTGCTTCGGTTCTCTGGAGCTGCCTGGAGTCCAGACGCTGCCACTCAAGAATGCATTGTACTGGGCAGGGAGGGAGGGCAGGAGGAGAGCCTGGAGGAAGAAGACGAAGGGGGAAAAAGAACTCTGTCTCAGGAGGTGGTCCTCTAGGAGCGTGTGAGGCCAGGTTCAGCTTCACTCCTCGCTGGCTCAATAGCTTTGCTCTCCTCCTCCTGCCACTGTTATATTGTAAGCCAAGCCCACTTATTAGCAGCTGGTCTCATTGGCTTGGCTTAACTCTCCAACCACCTCCTAACTCCGCCCCCCACGTAGGCTCCTCCCCGGAGGAGGGGCCTGCCGCCCTCACTCCCAGACCCAGTGGCAGCGCAGCGAGGGCTGGGAACTGTAGTTTTCGCTCCCCATCCGAGCTGAGCAGCTGCCGTCTCTCCTCTGACAGGTATGGCAGAAACCCGCGAGCCTACGGCGAGAAGGGATGTACGCGCACGCGGGGCGGTGGGGAGGAGAAGCACAGGGCCTCCCAAGGAGGGGAGCTCTGCGCCCTTATGCCGGCGCAGGAAGCGGGAAGACAGTTATTAGTGGCCAGGTTCTACGAGAGGTTGTTTCACATATGTTTTCCAGTTACATCCTCCGGACACCCAAGGAGGTGGGCATTACGTTCCCATTTTACAAACTGAAACTCAGAGATGTTGAGTAACAACTTCAAGGTCAAAAAGCAGCGGGGAGCCACATCCTCCTAACCCCAGGTGGGTAGGCTCACCTACTGAACGCCTGCCGTATGTGCGCAGGCGCCTCTCTATTATTTCTAACTCACATCAACCCTATGAAAATGATGTCATCATTATGCTTTTACAGATGAAAACTGTAAATAAAAAAAACCGCTCAAACACAGAGAAGTCAAATTACTTGCCGGATGTCACCTAGCTTCTAATTAAGGGTGCTAGGATTTGAACCCAGGTCAGTCTGACCTCACAGCTCCTACACCATCTCCCAGGATGCCTTTCCACTTTGATGCTCAGCACAAAGTGGTTGCTCCATAAATGTTGCTCAAATGATGGGTGGAAAAGAGCTAGAAGGAAGCTGTGGAGGAAGAACTAGGCTCCCCAAAGCAGGATGTGTGAAGTGGACCATGGCTCCAACTGAGCATGGAGTCACCAGAGGGTCTGGCAGGAAGCCTGAAGACCCCCATGGTCACTCCCCATCTGATTTGCCCCATGGGGCTCTGAGAGTCAGAGCTGGGAACAGCTGCTGGCTTCCCAGCTTCAGAATCATCATCAAGTATTTATTAAGCTCCCACTGTGTGCAAAGGGAGTTCCAAAGAGATGCAACCAGAGCTGAATTCATTTCCGTTTCTAATGCTGCATACTTAGGGATCAGTGAGGAAGGGACCACTATGGGATTCCCCAGGCACACCTGGGGTTTTAAGAGGGCAGCATCTTCCTGACTGGTTCCTGCTTCCCCGTCACCCCTGGGCCTCTGTCCAGGTGCTTCCCTGGATTGGAAGCAGGAAGAGTAGGAGAGCCATGCACACACAGAGATACACACATTGCAGCTGCACACATGTATGTAGGTGTGCATGCACTGGCTCACATACATGCACACCTGCACACACGTGCACACACACAGTGAACTTCTACAGCAGCTCTCCTGAAAGGTGAGCAGCAAGTGGCCAGGTCAGGGACGGGCAGAGCTCCCATCAAATGAGCCCAGAGTACCCTCTGTACATCAGTTTTCACCTCTCCAGCCCCTATCGGCCCTGATAATTAAAAGATAAATATTACTTGTAATATAAGCCACAACCCCAGAAACCTGAATAATTATAATTACTCGCACACAATAATCTTGATTATTGTTATTATTGTCAATGACTTGGTTATTCCCCCTTCCCCCCACCCCCATCACTACAAGTCACAGTGCTGGGGCTCAGACACAAGCCTGGAGGCTCGTGTGTCTTCCCATGACCATGCAGGCCCTCCAGTGTCCCCCTCTCCCCCTCTGGCATGCCCTGCCTTCCCTCCCCTTCCCTCTGTCTTCTTGATTTCCCTCCTTCCATCCCCAAATAGAGCCACCTGTTTGGTTCAAGGCTCCAGATCACATACTTAGGCTTAATGATTGCCTAATAAATTATGATTGCTATGTTGTTTGTAGCAGAAATGTGCTGTTAGTATTAGTTCTCAGTGCAGGATATAGTATCTTGGCTGTTAAAAATCAGTTTTCAGGGACAGACTCCAGGCCTGGGCACTTCTGTGCCCACTCCGCTGCCATGACCTGCCTTCTGCCTCGGCTGACCTTTCCGGGCCAGCCTCCTGCTTCCAGCTCTCCTGAGTGTGCCGACTAGATCCAAAGCGGGACTGCTGGAGTGTGTCCTGCTATCATGGGAGGGGATGAGAAACAGCTCGGGGACAGGGGATCCAACTATGGCAGAGCCAAAGATCAATGGGAGATTCATCTGGAAATGGACTAGAGCTTGACAGCTAATGCCAGTGACACAGATCATGCTCCTTGACGCAGTTGCCCTGTTGGAATGGGGAGAGAATGGTGTCATGGTTAGACCTTGAGGTCTGGAGTCAGACTACCCAGGCTGGAGCCCCTCTCTGACGTGCGATGGCTGTATGACCACAGGCAGGATAACTACCTCTGATCCCCAGCTTCCGACCTATAAAATGGGAGGAATAAAGGTCCCTACCTCATGGGGTTTGGGGCAGGATTAAATGAAAGAGTATGAGTGGACTATCCCACCGGACTATTTGTGGCAGCCTGGAAGCCCTCAGTGGCGTGCTGGAGATAGCTGGGACTGGCTTATAAAAGCCAACTGCGCAGATCTCTTCCCAACTCCACATCCAGTAATGTCGCGTTGATACCCT